TATTAGTAAAATGCTGCTGTCTATTTCCAATTTGTTTCCCCCTGTCACCCTTTCCGACACCTACAGGATTTGAATTGAATGACACCAACGAATGCCACAAAACACGGTCCTGAGTCACCTGCATCCATCTATGTCCTGCATGTCTTACCGGATCGTCATTCCATCCGCCGCCTTACACTTCGCCTACTTGTATGACGTTGCCACTCGAGAAACTGTCTTCCCCATCGGTTGTCGGTTTTTCGAGCTATATGGCCGGCACATTGCCACTTCAGCTTACTAATCCATTGGACAATGTCGGTTACACTGGTTCTACTGTGGGTATCTTAATTTTTATTTAAGTTTATCATGCAGAGAAACCCCGAACATATTATGTTTATGTTTCTTAATAATTTACAATTTTGAGTAGCCTTATTTATTTTGATAGATAGATAGATAACACTTTATTGTACCCTAAAAAAACATAAATATGAACAAAAAAGGAGATAAAGAAATATGGTACAATGGGCAGTCTTATCGCGATCTTTTCCAGACAACTTTTGCTATGTCAAATTTCAGTAATAATAAAGTCAAATGTGTTTAACCTTGAAGCGAAACTGATGACATTCGGCGAGCTGCGCAGTCGCCTACATGCGAGTGATGGTGGGGTGGCGGGTGTGGGGGGTGTGGGGGGTGCGGGGGAAGCGAACATTCTGAGCGCGCTGGGCGGCGCGGCGTGCTGCGTGCGCGGGCTGTGGGCGCCGCGCTCCGCCGACCTCTACACCAGGCCGACGCCCGCCCCGCCGCATCTCATGTGCGCCGCTAGAGACCACGTCGTAAGTACTTTTTCGTAGGAGAATACATGTTGTACACAGCTGAATCGGCAAATCATTGTGAGGTCATCATTTTAAACATGTTGGAGCCACGCTGCAGTTATATTATGGTTGTGGCACGAATAGGTTGGCTCGATCGGGGTAAAATAGCAGCTTAATGCTGCTGTGTTTAGAGTGTAGAGAACCGGAGACCCTTTTTACTGGAAGGGAGGCATTGCATCTTAGTCCTCAAGGGTGACAACGCATCTGCATTTTGATTCTTAATCGAGAATAGATGTAGATGTTTATGGGCCACAGCATCCATCTACCATCAGGTGGACTGTGTGCTCGTTTGTCACCCTTATTGTATAAAAAAAAAATGTGACATTTAAGACAAATCCTCCCTTCAGCGTGAAAGGCACATGTACAACAGTGAACTTTACTGTGAGACTTTTAACGTGGTAGAGCCATGCCGCAGCTATATTAGTAGTAGGGATGTTACGGAAGTGGTTATATCGGAACCGAATTCGGAAGCGGAGTTTTTAATTTTGTTTATCGGAACCGGAATCGGAGGTGGAGGCAGAAGAGATGTGTTAAGGACAGGTGTATTGCACTGAATATTTTTTCAGTTTCAAATTTTTTGAATTCTTCCAATTCAGTGGCATGGACAGACTTTAAATAGACTTTTTAACGAAGTAGTTGCACCTCCCTTTTGTGAATATATTTTTTAACATAGTTTACACTTTGCCGTATTCTCAGAAACTTCATGGAAATAATTCCAAATGGCACTTGATTTTGACTTCATTGTCCAATTGAAATAAATTTGTTAGACGTCAAATAAAACACTACTAAAACTAATCAAAAACTCGGATAAGTATAAATGAAGCGCGAACGCACAGCACGCCAATTGCCAAATACGAAACAAAACATCGAGTTAAGGCGGCTACTCACTTGCCTACCGCAGGGGCAATCTAGGATGAAAAGCGATCGAGGCAATATCAGAACTGTCTCTACACACATGCCTGCCGTTCAGTATGAGAGTGTACGTCTCGCTGGACACACGCATTGAGAATGGCGTCAGTTCTATCGAAATATCAATGAATCTGTATATATAGCCTTGGCTATTTTTTTATATTGAATAAGGATGATAAATGAGCACTGTCCACCTTATAGTATGTGGATACTGTGGCCCATAGACACCCATATTTATCGATAAAACAACTAATTAATTAATAATTACCATAATATAGTCCATAAAAGCTGCAGTATAACTCTACCACATATAAAAACATTCAACGTTTAAATTAAAGTTCTTTCTGCAAAAAAAAAAACAAAAAGGACTCCTATTACCACTGTCAAAATTTTACATTTTTTATTGGTATCCATTGTGACTTATACACACACAAAGTCGCTAACAAACTGATTGAAATAACCCCAATTGCATTATATACGGGGCAGCGGCTGCTATGATCTAGGAGCAAGGAAGGTCTTGCGCCTCTGTCGCCCTGCCGCAGGGCCGACTTAGAAAATTGCTCCCGCTTGCATACACACATCACAATTAAGGAGGCAATTAAGGGTCATCTCTACTTCTACACCCTAGATTGCTCCTGCGGCAGGCAAGTGAGTAGCCGCCTTTAAAGAGTAATAGACAGAAGACACGGGGGGAGGGAGCTTCCCGAGGCGACAAGTATAAAATTGTTTGTACACGCTGATCGCGGCCGCCGCCACCACTGTGCAGCGACCTCCGATATATAACTTCCGATTAAAATTTAACGGAACCGAAATCGGAATCGAAAGTGCAAGATCAATCGGAAGTTCCGAACTTTCGGAATCGAACGTCCGTAACATCTCTAATTAGTAGTATAGTTGTAGCACGAGTGGGTCGGCTCGACCTGAGAAGGACCTCGCTCTCACATAATAGCAGCTTAATGCTGGAACTATTGGAAATGAGACATTCCATCTCAGTACTCAGAGGTGACAATGCATCTGCCTTTTGTGGATACATGTAGATAGCAGCTTAACGCTGCTGTGTTTTGTATGGTGAGTGTAGAGAACCAAAAACTCTTTACTGGAAACGAGGCATCCCGTCTTAGTCTTCATGGGTTGGCAGCCGCATTTGCATTTGCATTTTGATTCGTAATCGAGGATAGATGTAGATATCTATTGGCCACAGCAACCACATCAGATGGACTGTGCTCGTTCATCACCCTTAACTAAAAAAAAGAGTAGAAAAGGCTATTATAATTAAGTAATATAACACAACATTTCTTGGATTCACAGAATAGTTTTATGTTTTCTTTTTCTACAAAAATGAATACTATTTTACTTAATTTTTACTTGAATTTCTCATAATATAGATTTCTTTCTTCCAGCTGTATTTGTTTACGCAACACCCTTACGTAGATAGACGTAAAGTGGCAGCTGCAGTCCGTCTCCCACCCTCAGACGTGCTGGAAATAATACGATCTGTCGCGAAATTCAACTCAAGAACAGGCTGGGAGCTAATCCTACCTCCGGACACTGTGTTTGAAACGAGATATCCGGATATAGTCCAGAGACAAAACTTGTACTGGGAAGCTCGTCAGCGTCAATTCAATGAGATGTTGATAGGCGAAAACGTCTCCAAAAGGCAGAGGAAGAAGTCTCAACGTGACTCAGTCGGTTCTGATACTATGTTGAGTCCGAAACCAAGGTGTAATAGTGTTAGTGAAGACGATAGTGAACGGAAACGGCACAAGAATAAATCTGCAACTGGCACTGGTAAACGGACGCGTAATATGAGTTCTAGTAGTGCTCAAGATGCAACGTGATGTTATCGAAATAGTTAGGTTATCCAATTGTAGTGTTTCAAATTATAAAGTCATGTTAATGAACGAATGTGTGCATTTTTCAGCAAATAATGGCATATTTATTTATAAATTAATTATAATAATTATTCGCACAGATGATTTCTTGATCTTTCGATAACAATGCCACCTACCGGGTCCAAATTGTGAATCTAAACCATCCAACCACTCAAACACAAAAAATTTCTTCTAAATCGGTACGAGTTTTTCCGAGACTAACGGACACTAATTAATTTTTATTTATAGAGATGGTAAAAATTTAACTTAGTGGTGATCTATATGAAAAATAAAACGAATATTAGTTTTTGCTATCACTGTTTTCAAAATTCGATACAAAATTCGGTCTTAAAAGATCACTCAGTTGTATCTAAGAAGTCTAGTTATGATTGATATAATTTTTTTAATTACATTCATTATTTAAACATGGACAGATAATCTCTCAGTATAATTATTTGTAGATAATACAAATCCTTGTCGATTTGGTGATCGAATCCGCTACCTGTAGCATCGCACCCCAATGCTTAGCCACTACGGTACCCAGTTCTAATGACGGATGGCTCGAGAAATGCCACAAACATGGTTATGAACCACATGCAAGTCGATGACTTCCTGTAGGAAGTATGACCTGTATATCTTTCCAAGTCGCTCTCCATATAGTGGGGGGCGTAAAACAAATACATACAAGTGCAGAGTACTGTCCTGTACTTATATGTATTTTTATATACATATATATAACAGCAAAAATCCTGCGGCGTGTATACGCTCAAAATAGTACTCATTAGCCCTAAAGTAATGTAATGCGTATGGGATAAGATTCCAGACGTAAGAGTAAAGCCATGACGCTAATCAGGAGCTGTATCTCAATATAAGTACTCTGATAAGCAATCTGGTCATCAAGATAAAGAAATAAAATCTATACGAACATCCTTAACCATCATAGAAAATTACATTTAATTTCCTTTTTAGGTGTACTTTAGTTGAATTTTGGCCACTTATTAAATATATTTATGATTATTTGTCTTGATCACGTAAAAATATAGCGCCAATTATGTAAATTTTTTTTGTTTAATATAATAGTGCTTACATAATGGATAGAAAACATGGAAAATTAACTTAACTGTGGAAACTTTATTGTTAAATGTAAGAATAATATGTGTTATGTATTAGACTAAAATTATGTATGTTTCCCTTAAAAAAAACTTAAAAAAAATTACAACACATAGTAAAATGCTGCCTGCTCTCAATTTAGACCTGATGATCTGAAGTCTTTTCTGCAATTCTGGTTCTTGTTACCTAATGAAATGTTCTAATGCTTTAAATTGATTGTGTATTAACAACTTCGCTGCCGAGCCCGCGCTGGCGCGGGATGCGGGGTATTGCGCGAGGGGCCGACCACGCGCTGGCGCGGGCTAGGCTCAGTACAGATTCTATGAGTCAGTGTGCCGCCGGCACTGCGTTTCGCGTGTTGTGTTTACGTTGGCACTGCGCGTGAATTTTTTACGATTCATTCAAAGTTAACGGTTTTTAAATCGAGCCACGTGTTTTTATTTTACAAGTGATTAAAATGGCGTAAGAAGCAGGCCCTTCGCGGCCTAAAAGAAAATGGTTTTCTACAAGCTATTTACGTGATTCAGACGTAGAAGATGAATTATTTGCCGATCTTGAATCGAGCGACAAATTTGACCCTGGAAGTGAGGAAGAGGACCAATCTTCAGAGGATGGCAACGACGAGCAGCTGCAATTTTCCCGCCTATCTGCCATAAATATAGAATCAAATTCACCGATCAGAAGGCCACGTTCCGCCCCACCACATTCGACGCCCGATACTTCAGAAGACCAACTCAATTTATCCCAAGAAGATATGTATTCGATCAGACCATCAGTTGAAGGCTCTATATCAGAGTGGACTGAGGTAGGCGAAATGAAAAACTTTACTTTTACGCGACTCAACGAATTTTACGCTAATCCTGGGATAAGACCTATTGATTATTTCGACTATTTCTTTAGTGAAAATTTTCTTAAAATGATTTGTGAAGAAACTAATAAACAAGCAGTCAAATTATCAGCTGGAGTGTCACAAAAATCTAGAATATCGGCATGGAAGGAACTAACTGTTTCCGAGTTTAAAGTTTTTTTGGGTCTACTCTTTCATATGGGCACTATTCAGCTTAATCGTCTTCAGGATTACTGGAAAACAGGCAGGTTATTTTCCATACCAATTTTCGCTGAACAAATGGGTCGGAATAGATTTCTACTGATTATGAGATGTCTCCATTTCACGTCTGAAGCAGATAATGGCGACCCAGTGCAAAAAGTTCGCAGTGTCGTCGACTATTTCAATACGAAAATGAACGAATGTTATTACCCCGCGAAAGAATTATCTTTAGATGAGAGCATGATATTATGGAGAGGTCGACTAAAGTTCCGCCAATTTATAAAAAATAAACGTCACAAATATGGGATCAAATTATATATGCTCACGGAACCTGACGGTTTGGTTTTGAAATTCCGTGTGTACGCAGGCGGTCTTGACCACGAAGTTTCGGGTAAAGGTCACGCCGAGAAAGTAGTGATGCAGCTCATGAATGAAAAGCTTCATAATGGCCATGCACTATACATGGATAATTTCTATAACAGTTTGGGTTTAGCGAAAAAACTTCTCGATAATAATACGTACTGCACTGGAACATTACGCATTAATCTGAAACAAAATCCTCAAGAGGTCGTTCAAAAGAATCTGAAGAAAGGAGAAAACATTTCTAGGTACTGCCAAGGAGTTCACATAGGAAAATGGAAGGATAAACGACCTGTTACCTACATTACTACAGAGTTTGAAGATAAAATGCTTCCAATAACTAATAAACGTGGACAAGTCGCTCAAAAACCCGAGGCAATAGCAAAATATAATGATTATATGTCTGGAGTCGACCGGCAAGATCAGTTGTTAGCATTTTATCCTTGTGAAAGGAAAACTTTGCGGTGGTACCTAAAGGTTGCTATTCACACATTCCAGCTGCTACTGATAAATTCATTCAAAATATATAATAAGTACTCAGGTCAACCTAAAATGACTTTATATGATTACCGCTTATCAGTGATAAGCGCATTGCTACCAGATAAACATGTCAAAACAAATCCAGGACCTGTAAAAAGACAAGTTCCTATGCCGCACAAAATCAGTAAGATTACGGAAAGAAATGCAAAAGGAAAATTGAAACGTAAGCAGTGCCGCCAATGCACAAAAGAAAAAAAACGTACAGACACTATTTGGCATTGCATTACTTGCATCGAAAAACCTGGATTATGTGTCGAATGTTTTGAAGTATATCATTCTTCAATTTGAAAAATTGATAATTTGATATCGGTTGATTATATTTGATTTTATGCTAAAAATTGTATTTCAAGCAAAAATTGTTTATTATTATAGTAGTTTATCTTAATATTGTTACTTATAATTCTTGTGTCATTTTAGTTCCTTATAACTCATTATTGTATTGTGTATGTTCTATTAATACTAAATACTTGACCACGCTCTGGCGCGGGCTTGGCACTACGTATGGATTTTCCAACCGCAGTGCCGGGCCCGCGCAGGTGCGGGATTTCTTTTTATTGTTTTATAAACGAAAATAATAATTACATGTTTTTAATTTTTTTTAAAACCTTTTAACTGATGTCTAAGAAGCTAAATAAAAACAAAAAGATTGGTCGGCATTTGGCACTCGACCTTTACAATTTGGCTGGCAGCGAAACTGTTAAATCGTTGACTTAATTCAACCTTTTATATAATGGAAGTGTTAAAAAGGTGCTTTAATCTTTTTTTGTTTTCATGATGACAAAATGTATTAGGAAATAAATCATGAAATACAATTAAATACTATATCAAATTCTAAAGAAGCATGTAAAATATTCAAAAATAAAAACTAAAATGTTTAATTAATACTTAATGTGTATCATTTTGTTTTTTACAATGTATTAACTAACCAAGCATACTTTAATTAATAAAATTAATATGAAGCAATATAAAATATTTTTAAGAGTATGTTTTTCGAATGTAATAAGAACTCAGTTTGGGCGCCATTATAAGAAATAAAACTTGTATTTTGTACATAATATATATTGTGATATATTATTATTGTCAGTCTATGGAATCGATAAACAACTTATGTATACATTTTTTTTTCATTTTGCCTATAAGTTATTTAAAAAAGTTATAACTTGCATGCAACCTTGGTAATAAATCAGTTTGGATTTGATTTAGGGATTACTGTGTCTCGTCGTTATTCTGTAATGATAGTACTATAATCTTAGGTCAACAAAGAATGATAGACGGAATGCTGCGTAAATTTATGTGATGCCAAAACCATGTTCATGACACAATAAACAATATTGTAGTGATAAAAAATTAAAATATTATGTTTTTCATGAATCGAGTCCAAGTAATGACTTGTGCATATATCATGTTTTGAACTGAATATTGTTTGATTTATGTATTGCCTATACTAAACTTTAATATATTATTCATCTACATAATAGCTTATTCTTTATAGCTGTGAAAACAATATTCAGTGTAATATGTCGTCGGCAGATTACATATTTCATCATCATGCAGTCTTCGTCTGCTTGCAAATACTCGCCGGTTTGTGAAATTGTGGTAGTCCGATCCAGATCTTATTTTTTTCTGTCTTATTTTTATTAAATCTTATTCTTTAAAAAATATTCCGGGGCATTTCTGCATAATTTATATATGTCGTAGTCCAATCGTGAAATAGGGCAGTTTATCATCTGCCTAGGTATTTCTTGGCGCGCCATTTCATAATTTGGACGATGATTTAACCGCCATAGCACTTTGTGTCTCATATATATGTATATAAATATATATATGTATATATATTTATATACATATACATATAAATGATCGGTCAAATCATGAAATGGCAACCTATTATAAATTCAGGCAGACAATACCCAGGCGGATTACAATCTACCCAATTCGAATGCCGTATATTAGGCCGCACTTCAACCCACTGCGACTGATATTCATTGATAGGTATTTTTTTGTATTTATAACAAATTTAACAGAAGTCATAGTTACAATTATCGTTCATAGCATTTAATGCTCAGGCAGATCACGATTTGTCCAATTCTACTCGTACTGAGACTTACGAGGCGCTTAACAATTTGCCTTTGGAATAATTGTATAGTTATGTACATAAATTTATGTATAATATTATAACGACGCCGTTTGCATAGTGACGAATCATATTATCTGCCGATGACACGTATACATTAGTATTTGTAAATAAAATATGTATGTAATTGTATGAAACCTTTAATAATAAAGTGAAATTACTTGAAAATATTGTCATTCCGTTTAACTGAAATCAGAATTTCCATTTAGTTGAGATTAAGATTTTTTAAATATTACTTGAAAATTGTCAGACTTTGGGTAGTCACTTTATTATTAAAGCTAGGGAAATAAATAACTGATTGTAAGCTATGTGATTTTGTAAATAAGTTGTTATTTTTTAAACGAAATAAAAAATATTGAACATTTTACCGGTTTAGTTTGCTTTGAGCTTGGTGATCGTTCTGCAGATTTTATATTTCTGTACATACAGGACAGGCCATTTAGAGAAATCTAAAATATCTCCACCATGAGTGTATATCAAATAAGTATAAGCCTGTAGAAATTCTATCGTCTATACTGTAGAAGGAACCGGCGTGATAAATCCTAAAAAGTTACAGCCTATATACGTCCCACTGGGCCTCCTCATATTTCTGATAGCGTTTTAGGGCAAGGAAATGTCCACCGCGTTGCCTCAATGCGTGTTGGCGAACTTCACATTTCTTCGAAAATTTTTTTTCTATATCTCATACATGCAGGCGTATAGTAAATCAGCGCTTAAAATTGCAATTAACAATTTCATTGGTGCCGGCGGGGATCGAACCCGGATTACTTGCGTACTGTGAAGTTTACAGCAAGCGTTAACCATCTGAGCTACCACGGCTCATTTTTTATAAATCCTAAGCGTTTAAAAAATATTTTTATTTTTTTACTGACTTCAAAAAGGAAGAGGTACTCAATTCGACTATGTTTTTTTATGTGTGTTACCTCATAACTTTTTTCTGGGTGAACCGATTTCGATGATTCTTTTTTATTTCAAAGCTGGTGCCTCTCATGTGAAATCATATAAATTTGAGCAATAGTTTTTGAGTTATTCTTAATAATTAAATTTTTATTACAAAAACGTTATTTCGAACTGATAATACTGCTTTCCATCACCAGTCTGTGGGCAGTAGTCACAAGTCAAAGCCCCGTCTGTCAATTACGAACACATCCAGAGGTTATTGTTGAAAACAATGTGTGAGAGCGGATGTTGAACTTGCTCTGCTTTATCGCTGTTAATGATTAATCAGGAATAATTGCATAATCGTTACCGTTACAGCCTCAAAGTCCAGTGCTAAAAATAGGTTTCCCCATAGTTTACCACGCTTGGCAAGCTGGTCAGAAACCGCAGTTTTTGAATTTATACTTCTTTTGGGGCGTTTGGGAAAAATTATGAGAGTGAATTTTTTACGATGCTCGCGTACACCACCAGCTAAAAACGACACCATGAAGTTGTTACGATTCGCGCGCACACTGACACCTCAAAGCGACAACTTCATTGGCGTAACTGTCTCTCAAGTTTTCGTGGGAACTGATAACCTGATAACTATATTTAAGGTAGTTATTTTTGTTTTGTTACGCTAAAGAAGTATAACTTCGTACGTGCGTACATAAGTCACACACACACGTTTATTTTTTTATTTTTAGTCGTTATTAGGAAGACGCTGCTGACCATCTGCCTCAGTTTTCCTCTGTCGCCTCTTACGACACCCACGGGATGATATGGGGTAGTGGATATTCTTACACCGCCACTACACGGTGTCCGCGGTACACGTTAATCCATAACAATAAATCATTAACAGTCAAAAAAAACAGCGTTACGTACTTCATATGCGCAAATACAATTAGACCATACCGTAATATTACAGACCGATCATTGCATGATAACACCAAGGTAGATTATGCGAACCAACAGCAACACTGTTTATCACAATGTAACACTGATTACCTTTCAGTAACATAATCATGACCAACATCATAATGGATTGAATGATAGGTAATCACACAAGAAGTCTCCTGTATCGAACTTTTTTATGTTCAGACGAGTCGAATTTTCGAGTTTTACCCTCACTTCTATTCAGGTCTAATTATTTTCTACCCTATAACAGAAGCAGGTCTTAAAATCTTCAATTCAAAGTCAAGGTCAAAATCTTATATTTTCCCCATATAGTAAAACAGCCTATATTCGTTTCTCCGTTGGGCACACGCCTTCTCGCACTTATAAGCAAGAATAGTTCGCTGCCCCAATACATGTTGGAGATCTTCACAACATGTATGTGGCAAATCAGCATTTAAAATAATTTCGGTTGTGCCGGGCCAATTCGGATTTATAAAATTAAAATGACAATTTAACTTGGTTTTTGTCGAACCAGTGGTAATTAAACAAAAGGGTGACTTTCAATAAATATTATTTATAATCTATATTGAATACAAAAAGGTTTTTGTTTCTGTTGCAGACAATGGTAAAAGTGGCTAGTGCAACTCATGGACACCTTTTTTTATAGGACAGGTTGCCAAACGAGCTCACAGTCCACCTGATTGTAAGTGGTTGGTTGCTGTGACCCATAGACATCTACATCTCTCATCAATAAAGAATCAAAATACAGATGCGTTGTCACCTTGAGGACTGAGATGGAATGCCTTTTTTCCAGTAAAAACGGTCTCCGGTTCTCTACACCATACGAAAGAACAGTGTTAAGCTGCTATTTTACGCTGGTATTCTGTAAGAGCGTGGTCCTTCTCCGGTCGAGCCGAACCATTCGCGCTACAACTATACTACTAATATAGCTGCAGCATGGGTCTACCACGTATAATAATATAACCTGCAAACAACTTCAAATAAAGAAGGCTCCAGATGCTAAAAACACGATTATGCTTTCTTTTCCATTCTAAAAAAAAAATCCTGAAAATTAAAAAATAAAAGCCTCTGTTTCTAAAAAACAATTTATTAATTTTCATAAAGTTAAAGTGATAAAAAGATAAACAATTTAAATAACAACAAGAGTTTAGCAAAAAGTAACATATTATAATTTTATTTAATATATAGACTTGGAATATATTAAGCTATGTAAAAAACACGATAGAAGATAACATTTTTTCTTAAATATTCTGAATTCGGAAACAAAGCTCTATATAAAAAAATAGGTAACGACTATAGACTTGCTTAGTAAAAATAAAAAAAGAACATACAAACGTAGTAATAAATTAATTATAAAATATGAAGTTGTGATAATATGTGTCACATAATGTGACCAAATTATTCATAACCTATAATTGTTATACCTATGAAAGATCAACGAAATCCGTATCCCCTTTCCTCCTAAAAAACTGGTCCGATTTTTTTTTTCAAGAACATTTTATGAAGGATTGTGGCTATGTCTGTAGGTAGGTACGTATTTCTTTTAATTTTTATGTTCGTTTTTGCTGAATGTTTTTAACGGCAGTCTTAGTTTCAAGTCAGTTGATAAAATTTTAGAAGGTTCCCAGTTTTTTAGAAGTATATACGCAGTCGGTTTTTAATGTCTATACGTGGCAGATCCATAATGCAGCTATGTTAAGATTATAGTACGAATGGGTCGGCTCAACCGGGGATGGACCACGCTCTTACAGAATACCAGCGTAAAATAGAGACATTCCAAGATGGAATGTCTAAGATAGTCCTCAGGGGTAACAACGCATCCGCATTTTGATTCTTAATCAAAGATAGATGCTGATGTTGGCCACAGCATCCACTAACCATCAGGTGCGCAGTGTGCTAGCTTGTCACCCTTATTCTATAACAAAAAACAAGACGGTAATATGGCCGTGGTACCTAGATAAAGATTGTATCGTACAAAAATATTAGCCCTAGTTTCCAGGGCAAAAAGGAGAATAAGTTTTTAAGGATTGTCTAAACGCGGCCCCCACAAACTATTAACTATTACTGTGCATGCTGCCCGGATATACTCTTAAAGGGGGATAGAATAAAAAAACCTGGAAATAGATTGTTTGCAGTATTCTTATTGGATGTAAATCAACAAATTATAAAATACGAGAGACCGTATACGTAAGCGATCAAACACAATGCTTTAATAACTTCATAAAACTAATGGATATGATTGTGATGGATCAACTGTCCAACTATAAAGTAAATAAGTCAAAAACTATAGGTACGTCTAAATGCTCATGAACTGATCTTGAACCTGAACCGCAGTAGTCGGTTTACTATTTAATTAATTTTTTTAGTACTTATCCCATGTAGGGACTGGAGGTTATAATAAAGGTTCCATCAAAGTATGTGCCAATAATTGTGTTACTTGCCTAGCCTGTTGTAAAAGGTAACTAATAAAGTAATAGGTCTGTGTTTGTGTAGGCGCTGTGCTGAGCCAACTCACAAATTTAACAATTTTGGATCAAAAATCATATTTTAGGCTAAACGTGGTCCGAGTAGTTCGCTGCTCCTTGGATTCCCCCGCCCCCCGACCCCTCGGGGATTACTGACGTGACGCTATGAATGTAATATGTATGTTTGTTTATAAGTACATAAGTACCTGTAGGATTTACAAAGCAAGTGTTTATCCCATCAAAAATGTCATACTTTAAAAGTTGCCACCTTGTTATTGCTTGATTATTATATTATAACAAATAATATGATTGCAATTTTATAAGATTTCAAGCACAATACATAATCAATAGTAAAAAAAATAACTTCTTGATTAATAGCTTTTCTTAATAGTTTGTTTTTCCGTATGAATTACTTACTAAACGTAATAAACCTATTTTAGATGTAAATAATATTAATTATTAATACATAGGTATAACAAAGAGTGCATTTATTTTTTTTAATTTCAAAGATTAAAAAAATAAGTAAAATATATTACATCCTTGATTATTTTAACATGATGATCTTATAACAAATAAATTTTAAATTTATGAATTAAGCGATAAGAATCTACTGAAAAATGTTGTTAAAGCTAAGGCAATAGCGATGTAACCGTTTGCAGCGGAGGCGCTATTGCAAAACTTCAAGTCGCAACTGTCGGCGATTTGTCCAAATTTGTTTTTGACATAGTTCCAGTCACAAAGGCCTACGCGGCATCCATCCAAGTTCATTGGTTTTTCATTTTCAAGGAACAACACCTGGTATTCACCTTTTACTTGGAAGTTGCCATCTTGAGAGCATCTGAAAAATTTAGTAAATTTTGTGAAAGGGTTTTCGTACAATATTTGAGTGTTGCCAGTGACCTATGGAAACGAGACGTGGTCCTTCACTGCCCGCATCTAAGAGGGAGCTTAAAAGCCACTCAGCAAGCTATGGATAAGCTATCCTAAGTGTCTCGGATAGAAACCATACGTGAAATAGCCGCATAGTGCTGCTATATTAGCAGCACTATGCGGCTATTTTATATTGTAGTTTTATTAACTGATCGAGACGGAAACTATACCATTTCAGCCTATACAGTCCACTGCTGAACATTGGCCTCCCCCAGAGATTGCCTCATAGGGGGGATTTTGCCATAGTTGTCATGCTTGACAGGCGGGTTGGCAATCGCAGTTTTTTATCATTCCGAGCTGTTATCAGGAAGATACTGCTAACCATCTCCTGTTTCAGTTTCCCTCTGTCGCCTCTTCCGATACCCAAGGGACAATATGGGGTAGTGGATATTCTTACACCGCCATTACACTGACCGACCGAAACTATAACCAAAAGCAATATAAATTCTGGCCGAGAACGAGACGGTAGAAATTTCATTTATTAATAAGTAATAGTATGGAGATGCTGATGAGCTTGTGTAAGAGGATTTAGTAAATCATTTCGTTCCGTTGGGTTCCTAAGAGGTGACTACGGGATATGCCAGAAAAATATGGCTTCCGATAATGATGGTATACCATCTCCATTACGTAATACTCAGACCGGCTACGGACAGCAGCGTTAAAGCCGTGCGATGTCTATATTTTATTAATGTATTGCAACCTTCAATTCGTGACGTGACGACTAAGGAACAATACAGAACTATTCTCATTTCAGATAGGGGCTGTAGACTTTTACTGATTAACAGTTGGAGGCCGTGGAGGAGGGGGGGGGGGGGCGTGCATTGTGTTCCTGGTGCGCTTTGCCTGAGAAGGAGAATGGTGAGGAGAGGTGCTCCCCCAAGAAGGGGCTGCCATGGGGCGGCCGGCGCTGGTGGGGCCGCGGATGTGTGCGAAAGCGTTCCCGTGGCCCTGCCAATATGCGACGAAGGTATAACACCATGGGGTTTTAATCGGTGCGAGTCCGACATAACGCGTCCTTGCTCCCGCGAGGCGGGTATGCGTAGGCATGTAAAAAAAATACTTTTACTGATTAAAATGTTTGTTGTAAAAATTCATAAAATAAGAGCAGTAATAATTACTTATACAGCACAGCGGCAATGTTAGCATTGAACGGCGACATTAGGGACGAGCTCCACTTGCGTGCTTGTATTGCTTGTGTGTGATAGTTGTCGCCTGTAAGCGGTGCCAAATCATGCCTCTGTCCCATAGCAGTCAACGTTAGAAGAATTGTAGGGGCGTCCGTGAATTGGATTTGCGCTCGTGGTTGTTGCGGTGTGTCTGTAAAATAGTATTGATTTCTTATATTTAAGATTTATCGCATTTACTTAAATTTAAGTTTAATGAGGGCCTTTTCCACGACTTTTTCTGACACCAGGGCAGCGCCACTAGAAAGTGAGGTATGATATTTTATATAATTTGAAAATATAAAGGTTATTGCCTCTTTCTGTACTATTAGCTATATTTAATATTCATAGGATTAAAAATAAATAAACCAAACGACACATATTCATAAAAGTAGAAAAATTAAAAAAAAAGTTTAAAATGTGCAAAAAATTAAAGAGTAAACCAATAACGCATTATTTTGTGTATTAATATAATACTCTAGAAACTGATAAACTTTTATTAAAAACCAACTTCTCAATGAAATGACATTGTGTAACAAAAAAACTACCTCAGTGTCAACTAGCGACATCTGGTGAGCAGAAAATTATTAGCCCTCATTAAACGCGACAAAATTCGTAAAAGCTACTACTTAGCTTTATGTTTCAAACTGGCAACATTTAAGCTATGTTAGTGTTATGAAAAAGTGAGCACAGAGAGACAGTAGAGTTTAGAGAGAAATTATTGTGTACTGTGGTAGAGTTACTCGTTAGTTGTGTATCGCCAGCAACGCTAAGTCAGGAATTTGTATTTGGAAAAATCCCAAATTAGGGGCTTTTTAGGTGCTAATTAGGTGTCAAGTTTAAAATTAGGTGCTCTAAAATTTTCACCGCAACGAACGATTGAAATTTGCGTTGCTAGCAAAACCTCTCGCTAGCAACGCAATGAACTTATTAAATATAAGATAAATATTAATAGCAAGGAATTAGGTGCTAATTAGGTGCTGCAAGTATACGCAGTAACAAGGCGCCCCTAATAAAAATAAAGTCGTTATTCAGAACCTAGCAGATGCAAAATTCAGATTTCCTGAAAATCAAAATAGAATCAAAATTGCTTTCAGAAAAAGTCCAAATAAGGGGCTTTTTAGGTGCTAATTAAGTACCAAGTTTAAAAATTAGGTGCTCTAAAATTTTCACCGCAACGACCTATTGAAATTTGCGTTGCTAGCAAAACGTCTTGCTAGCAACGCAATTAAGTTATTAGATATACGATAAATATTAATAGCAAGGAATTAAGTTCTAATTAGGTGCTGCAAATATACGCAATAACAAGGCGCCCCTAATAAAAATAAAGTCGTTATTCCGAAAATTATTCAGCAAGGCAATATTTTTTTATAGGATAAGGGTGACAAACGAGCACACAGACCACCTGATGGTAAGTGGTTGCTGTGACTCATAGACATCTACATCTATCTTCGATTAAGAATCAAAATGCAGATGCGTTGTCACCCGTAAGGACTAAGATGGAATGCCTCGTTTCCAGTAAAAAGGGTCTCCGGTTCTCTACACTCACCATACGAAACACAGCAGCGTTAAGCTGCTATTTTACGCTGGTATTCTGTGAGAGCGTGGTCCTTCACCGGTCGAGCCGACCCATTCGTGCTACAACCAAAATATAGCTGCAGCATGGCTCTACCACGTAAAAAATTAGGTCTTTGTGTTTGTGCCATCTAGCGTCTATCCTACTTACCACCTTGAGAGTCTATCGATTTTGATTTGATAAAATGACTAGAACTATAGAACGTTGTAGATGGCGCTATTTATTACAAAGCAATTTACTGGAAGGAAAATATCCTTTCGAGTACACTAAAGTTTAGGCTTCACATGTCTAAAAATAAGAATTGTAACATTTATTTGGTTGAAAATTATATTAAATAATATTATAAATCTATAATATAATTTAATATAATTTTCAACCAATTTTCAACCATAATGATTTCTTATATTTACGCGAACACTACACATTAACTTATAGTAAGTTCATACTGCGTAGATCGGAACAAAAATTAATAATTTTTAATCTGGAGGTAGCCGTGGTTAACTATGACATTGGGACGTCATACACCTCAGTCCCCCCCGTGACCATGGGTGCTGTAAAGTGCTTGAAACGTCGGGAAAGTAAAATAAGTTAATATACGCGATAAAATCCGTAAAATTAGTTTTATTTAAATTTTCAACCATTTTCAAATATAATCATTTTTAATTTGAAAAACAAAAAATGCCGATAATAATCTTTCACCTAATTAGCAATTAATTTTTAGGAACTGATAAAGAACAAAAAATACTGTTCATACATTATAGTAAGGTAATGGTGGTCGTGGACTCATAATTCCCAGAATAATATCGTAATCTGTATCGGTTTTTGATAATCGATCTGCAGCACTTAATTATCATATAATTCCTTGCTATTAATATTTATCGTATATCATCTAGTAACGTCATCAGCGTTGCTAGCGATACGTTTTGCCAGCAACGCAAATTTCAATGGTTCGTTGCGGTGAAAATATTGGAGCAACTAATTTTTAAACTTGGTACTTAATTAGATTAAAAAACCTAAAAAGCCCCTAATTTGGACTTTTACTGAAAGCAATTTTGATTCTATTTCGATTTTCAGGAAATCTGAATTTTGCATCTGCTATGTTCTGAATAACGACTTTATTTTTATTAGGGGTGCCTTGTTATTGCGTATATTTGCAGCACCTAATTAGCACTTAATTCCTTGCTATTAATATTTATCGTATATCTAATAAATTCATTGCGTTGCTAGCGAGACGTTTTGCTAGCAACGCAAATTTCAATCGTTCGTTGCGGTGAAAATTTTAGAGCACCTAATTTTTAAAATTGGCACTTAATTAGCACCTAAAAAGCCCCTAATTTTGGATTTTTCCAAATGCAAATTCCCAACTTTGCGTTGCTAGCGATACACAGCTTTACTCGTTAGCTTGTTAATGTTACTTAGCTGTGATAGTTTTCCTTTTAAATTCATTATATACTACTATCGTGCATACTTTTTACGTTTCTGAAAACAGCGGTTTAATTGGTAGTGGAGCACGTGACTAATAAAAAATACCACTTTAAAGCTAAATATTTAGAAAAAGAAAATGTTGCTCCGTACCACCAACATTTTTGAAAGACATATCCAATGACACCCATGTACAGATGGGTAAAAAAAAACATATGCCCTTTTTCTATATGAGAGGTATCCAAAATAAAAATGTTTTTCAAGAGGTTATTTCACAACTTTGTAGGCATGATTAATATCTATAACTATGTCAAATTACAGCTTTGTAGCACCAAGGGCTCTGAGTAAAATTCAAACGGACGGATATCGCAAAACTATAAGGGTTCCTTGTTGTTTAACTACAGAACCTTAATAAAGAACCGCTTGGTGCGGTTAGTTAAAGAAAGTACTTCCAACTAATACTTCAAACTAATCGTACCACTTTGTCAACACTTTTCTACACCGAACTGCTAATTTGCAGTTTTCAGACTTTTCCCCTTTTATGCGCCTAATAAGTAACCTACCTTGATGCCAAATTTCTAAGCCACATACAAGATACCTACTTAGGTTTTAGATGAACGACTTATGTCAATATAAGTATGGCATAATGAGTCTATTTAAACTCAAACTAAAAAAACTAAAAATAAATAAATATTGCTATATGGATGTGTATTAGTTTCAGTTAAAACGACTTGCCGTGGTTGACATGAGTCTTCAGGAAGTTCATCATATCTTTAACTGTTGTGCAACCCATCTTCTCGTTCATTTCATTTCCGTAGCTGTACTTGTAATACATTTCTAGGTCTTCTGCGTACTCAAACTTTTTGAGATCTTCCTTAGTGAAAGCCTGAAATGTAAGGATATGTTGTAACGTGGTGCGTTAGTGTATTATCATAAGTCATGTGGCATAACTCGGATGGTGTTTTTCGGTCTTTATACTGGCAACATTAATTCATCGGGAAGTATAATTGGATTTTAAAATCTATCACTAAGTTTTACCTGGATTCTTCGTCAAGGTCGTGTTTATCTGGAATGCATGTGGCGTTAAGCTGATCGATACTTGGCTTTGTTCCAGCACCAATGCATATTATTTTATGTCACACTTGTTTCCGAACCCTGTTGTTGTTTTTTACATTATAGCGCGAATGGGTCGGCTCGAGCGAGTAAGTACCACGTTCTCACAGAATACCAACGTAAAATAGCAGCTTAATGCTGCTGTGTTTCGCACGGTGAGTGTAGACAAACGGAGAGCCTTTTAAATAGTAACGAGGCATCTGAATTTTGATTCTTAATCGAGGATAGACGTAAATGTTAATGGGCCACAACATCCACTTACCATCAGGTGGACTGCGACATCAGGTGCTCCACCACCTGATCCTTGTTACCCCTATTCTATGAAAAAATTGAATATTACATTCAGTCAAGGAAAAGCTTTGTTACAATGTTTATATTCCAGAAGTTGTACGACTAAGGCTATTGCTGAACATGGGTCTACTCTATTCCATTGTAGGGAGATTTTGTTTTCATCGTTACGATTGAAAGGCGGATTTTTGTTATAGAATAAGGGTGACACGCGAGCAAACAGTTCACCTAATGGTAAGTGGACGCCTTGGTCCATAGACATCTACGTCTATCCTCGATTAAGAATCAAAATGCAGATGCCTCGCTACTAGTTAAAAGGCTCTCCGGTTCTCTACACCCACCGTACGAAACACAGCAGCATTAAGCTGCTATTTCACTGGTAGAATATGATTGCAGTAGAATATGATAGAGAGGTATAGAGAGAGCGTGGTCCTTCCCCGGTCGAGCCGGCGCATTCGTTCTGATTCTGATTACCTTCCCATCGAACTATGAGACTGATGGAATAGAGAGATCACTTGTGTTTGCGCATACATTCTAGCACTATTATCCTGTCCCGCGCTTTAGTCCCCGTTAACACTGATCGAAGTGACAGAAATACGGTTAGAACATCTATCCCACTGCCTGTTTTACGTTTATGTTTGCCTAGTACTTTTCCTACCATTTGTAAAAAATAAACATCAGGTCATTAGGTCAAAAAACGTTAACATGAAATGCATAATTATGACAAAAATAAACTAAAGCACTGATGAAGATATTCTACTGGACTACAGAGTATTTTCCGCCCCAGTGGTCTTAGCAGTTAAGCTCTATTTGGTAAGAACATTTCCAGTAGTTTTACTAGTAAGATAGATAAATGTCTTTAAACTGAAGACGTTAATTTCTGTTTATACTCACAGCACACCAGGGCGAGATCTGCGTGACATTCCAGGCCTTATCATAGCGACACATCTGGTAGATATTTTCTACAACGCGTTTCTCCATGTCGTAGTTGAAGCCCAATCTACGCGATATGTTGCTTATCATCTGTTCAACAATATTGGTGTAAGTTTAGTAACATTGAAGAGTTATATATTTCTAATAGTTTAATTTCTGTACTTAAAAATAAAAGAACCGGACAAGTGTGAGTAGGACTTGTGCCCTGAGGAATCCGTATAAACTTAATAATAAAAACGGTAACTCTATCCGTAATCAATTTTAATAATGATGCAATATTTAAAAATCCACTTACGTCTCTGAACTCTTGTTTAGACTCGAAGGTATTTTTCTGCGCCAGTGTATTGTTGTTTTGCTCCACATCTCTCATCCACACTGAACAGAATTTGTATGGCTGGAATAAAATCAATGCAAATATATAGTACTTGCTAATCATAAATAACAATAAAAAATAGAGCTGTAGTAGCTCAGATGATTAGCGCTCGCTGTAAATTTCAAAACACGCGAGCAACCCGATTTCGATCCCTGCCGGCACCAATGAAATTGTTAATTGCAATTTTAAGTGCTGATTTACCACGTGGTCGGCGGTAAAGGAAAACATCGTGAGGAAACCTGCATGTCTGAGAAATAAGAAAAATAAAATTAGAAGACATGTGAAGTTCACCTACAGGCTTTGACGCAGCGCGGCGGACACTTCCTTGCCCTAAAACCCTCTTAGAAATGAGAGAAGGACTGTGCCCAGCTGTGGGACATATATAGGGTGTAACTTTATTTTACTGATCATATATCCAGTGAAATGAATCGTGTATTAGGTGAAGTGACAAACAAACTTACAGTCCACCTGTGATCGTAAGTGTCTACAGAAGTCCATGTGGACGCCTGTAGCCAATTTCAAACAAAGAAGGCTGCAAATGCCTTGTCACCACTAAGCAGTAAGATGGAATGGTTTGAGTCTCTAACTATACTAGTTCTCTCCTCCCTATATCCTTAAGACAATTACGTGGTAGAGCCATGCTGCAGCTATATTAGTAGTATAGTTGTAGCACGAATGGGGCGGCTCGACCGGGCAAGGACCACGCTCTCACAGAATACCAGCGTAAAATAGCAGCTTAACACTGCTGTGTTTCGTATGGTGAGTGTAGAGAACCGGCGACCCTTTTTACTGGAAACGAGGCATTCCATCTTAGTGCTCACGGGTGACAACGCATCTGCATTTTGATTCTTTATTGAGGATAGATGTAGATGTGTATGGGTCATAGCAACCACTTACCATCAGATGGAGTGTGTGCTCGTTTGTCACCCTATCATATAAAAAAAGACGGTGCCCATCTCCCGATTTGTTTGCCTCTGTCGCTTCTTACGACACCCAAGGGATTATATGGGGTAGTGGATATTCTTACACAACCACTACACTGTTATTTAGCGGCCTAAAATAGTAAGAGGGAATAATATGTTTGTCGGGCCGTGATGGCGTATAAAAGGCGACTATGGGAAATGAAACTACTAACAATATTCATAAATAATTCTTACCCTTAATGTTTTCTCGTCGTTCTCCTTAGAAACGTCATCACCCACGGGTTGCCCTTTAAACAAACCCTCTGCAAACGCTCGGAAAGTGGTGCTCGAGCGCAGATCTTCGGCGTATTTGAACTGGAATTGATAAAACAAACATTTTCTTTACTGTTTATTTTGACCATCGAAGTACTAGAACTGTATTACTCGAAACGTTCGATCTGTTTCTGGTTTGCTTACTTTATTTATGAATTTTTGTCAAATAGTTGTTTGGTCATCTATTTGGTTATACTAGCTTTTGTGGTATTTTTTATGGTCGATGCTTATGACCTCCTACGAGATATAATGAGTTGCGTTTTCTCCGAAGCTACCATGGCCATATACCATAAAGTAGACTTTATATTATATACGAGTAACGCAGAACAATTCTGTTGGCTTCATTAAAATGTTATTCTCAATTTTAAAGACTGGTAGACGATATGTTCGACGGCATGGCAAAACTTACATATCTGAAAAAAAATCTAGGATATGTGAAGTCCGCAAGATGCATTAGAGTAGTGACGAACTCTTCTCTGCTCCAAGCGTTCTCGAAAGTGAATTAAATGTGAATAGCAGTTGGACGTATACAGGATGGCGCTACGCTAAACACAATAATGATACCATCAACTCTGTAATTATTAAAGCGTTTTATTACTGGCAGCCGTGTAGGGCAGCAAGACATACAGGAAGTCGAGGCAGTCGAAATATAAATAAGGCTCAAGATCATGTTTTGTAGCAATCTTTGAGAGAGGTCTCTGTCAGCAGTGGACATGTGAGGGGCTGTAATGATGATGATGGCAATATCACGTGCTGGCATAACCATTCACATTACTAAGTAAAGATATAATAAAAAAGTAAAGTTACAGCATATTATATACGTGATAAGTCCCACTGTTGAGCTTGTGCTCTCGCTTGCGTGTGATACAAGATCGTTACATACACTTGCGTGTGGCTCCAACGATGACGTGTACAGCTGCACATAGAACCTCTCAATTTCACTCAAAATCGCAGGTGTCCCGGAAACGATGCTGCCACACTCGGTCTTCAGCTTTGACAGTTGGCTCTTCAAAGACTTTGAAGCCTTGGTGTTGTGGATCGCAGTGGACTGTATTATTGGGGGGGTAGGGGTGTACGCTAGGGGGCAACTGCTCAAAGAAAAGATGGTACTGTCGAACTATACTGTATTCTAACTATTTACAAAATGTGGCACTATTAACTACACTATTATACAGAGGGGAGTCTTCTTGATGGAGTCTTCTTGAGTCTTGATTTTCTTGATTTTCTTGCTGTCTTCTTCTCGTTGAGTGCCGCTTCCGAAATGAACAACAACCGTCCGAGACGCCCTTCTTATATTTCGCCGGAGAGCGTCTCGGGTCGTGCGTAGCGTCGTCCGCGATGCCGCGCGCTCATTGGTCGGCGACATCGCGTGATCTGCTGCCGGTGTGCGGGGTGCGCGGGGCGCACCGGGGTGTGAAGGGGCGACGGGGCGGCGGCCTCCTCGCTGTCCGCTACATCCTCCCCCCGGCGTAGCCTGCGAGCCTAAGCTTCTCTCGGGAGGACGGCGATCTTCCTGACGGGCCGCCGCAGCACTCCTCCCTTGGTCCGGACCTCCACGTTTCGCACCACGCCGTCTGGTCCAGGAAACGTCTTCGTTACGATGCCCCGCGGCCACACGTTCCTGGGTAGGTTGCCGTCTGCAACCACGACGAGGTCCTCTTCCTGTATTTGGCGCTGCCGAGCATCTCTGGAGTCCCCGCGCGCGACCAGCGTCGGCAGGTACTCCTTCACCCAGCGCCTCCAGTATTCGTCGGCGAGTCCTTGCGCCGCTCTCCACGCCCGACGATCCATAGATGTGCACGGCGCGGTGACTGGCAGGCCCGATGGTCCCAACAGTAGGAAGTGGTTGGGTGTCAGCGCCTCTTCATCGTCGATGTCGACCGGCACATGCGTCAACGGTCGAGAATTTATAGTATTTTCGGCTTCAGTCAGAAGCGTTGCCAGCGTCTCTTCTCGTGGGCTCTTCTGATGGAGAGTGGCTTCGAGCGCGGTCTTCACTGAGCGCACGAGACGCTCCCATGCGCCTCCCTGGTTAGGCGCGCCCGGTGCGATGAACTTCCAATCGACGCGCCGAGTCAGCGCGTAATCCTTCAACTGTGGCGCCCACTCTTCCATTGCCCGTCGTAATTCTGTGTCTGCCCCGTGAAAATTAGTCCCATTATCCGAATAAATAACCCGTGGCCACCCACGCCTAGCCGCCATGCGCCGCAATGCCGATATCGGCGAGTCCGCGGTCAGAGAAGAGACTATCTCTAGATGTACTGCGCGCGTCGTTAGGCACGTGAACAGTGCCACCCACCGTTTTTCGTGCCGTCGTCCTATCGTAACCGTCAGAGGCCCGAAATAATCAATCCCGGTGTTCGTAAATGGTCGCGCAAACGCCCCTAACCGTTCAGGTGGTAGGTCTCCTGTAACCGCAGGTCGTGGTGTCGCCTTCCGTATTCTGCATCGTAGGCATCTCCGCTCCGCTTCCCGTACTGTAGGTCGTAATCGGAGGATATGATACCTAGTGCGCAGGTCGTTCACCACCCTCTCCCTATTGGCGTGGCTTGCTTCCTGATGCGCCTTCTCCACAAGCAGCTTCACAAATTGGTGACGTCCATTCAGGATAATGGGTTTCTTCATTTGACCGTCCACGTCGGCTGCGTTGATCCTTCCCCTGGCTCGTAGCACTCCATCCTCCAACATGGGGTCGAGCTTCCTTAGTGCGCTGCCGGTGGTCAAATTCTTTCCCCGCTGAAGGCGGCTGATGTCTTCAGCGAAGCTTTCCTGCTGGCTGCGTTGTATCCACATCCGTTCTGCTCTCTGGATGTGCTGTAAGGTCAGTCCTCGTGCTCTTCCTCGTGCCGCATCGAGGAATTGTAGTACTCTTGCAGTGGCCCTGATTAACTTCTCGTAGGCAGATAATCTCTCTATGTCTGGCAGGTGTGGAGCTTCCTGGGTGTCGCTCTGGTGCGCCACGATTTCCTCCAACTCTTCATCATTCCCCGCCTTCTCCTCCTGTCGGTGAGGCCATCTGTCTTCATGCTCGTAGAGGAAGGGTGGTCCTGTAAACCACTTGTCGCTCTCTTCCTTAGTTGTGAAATTCATCCGCGTTGCCTGATCCGCTACGTTTTCCGCAGTCGGTATCCACCTCCATTGCTCGGGTGATGTCTTCTCAGCTATCTCCCCTAACCGGTGAGCAACGTATGGAGTGTAACGCGCCGTATCGTTTTGTATCCAGTGGAGCGCCGTAGTAGAGTCCGTCCAATATACGACCCTATCCGCTACCACTCTGTGTTCGTCCTGCACGAATTCCGCGAGTCGCGCGCCTATTAAGTTCGCCTGCAACTCTAATCGCGGTATACTTTGCGCTTTGATTGGGGCGACTTTCGCCTTAGCCGCCACTAATCGCACCCTAATCGTTCCGTCGCGATATCGTATACGCCAATACGCCGCGGATGCGTACGCACGTTCGCTCGCATCATTGAAGACGTGAAGTTGACGCTCTACAACTCCCCCCGTAGGAGCATAGCACCTTGGCAGTCGTAGTCGTGATACCTCCTCGACGACTCGCAGCCATCGCTGGAATTCCTCTGCTGCCTCCTCGGGTAGTTCGTCGTCCCATCTTCGTGCTGCCATCTCGTAGCTGGGTGGCATCCGCACGTTGTCGTCCTTCCATGGCGGTCCCACTTGGTATTGCTCGCCGATCTTCTTGACGGTGCGCTGGAATATGTCGACAGCGCGCTCCTCGTCCCGTCGCGGCCTAATCTTCAGCGAGATACCTATAGAGTCTATCTCGTACTGCCGTTTGAGGAGTTCCGTTAGCTCCTCGTCCCGACTGGCAAACGTTCGGATGTCCCTATCTGACCGTCCGCTAGCGCTCTCTACGTGCAATACGGTCTCGCCGTCTTCCCTACACGTTAACCGCGGCACGGTTCCCTGAATTACCCATCCTAATAACGTTCGTGCAGCTATAGGCTGCCTTCGACGTCCTATCCTTAAAGCACGGGTAATTATCAAATGCCAATTGTCGGCGCCTAATAGCAGTCTTGGCTTCGCGTCGTCGTAACACACCGAACTCGGTAAGTCACGTAAGTGCTTTAATCGTAAGCACTCCCTACTCACGGACTGCGAGCCTATCTTTAAGTCAGTTATTGTTCGCGCGTTTATGTTAAACATCTCGCTGCGCGTCTTGCCACGTATCCCTATATTGACTAATCTACTATTAGCCTCGCGTTGACTGTTCCCTACGCCTTTAATGTTGAGCGGCTTTATCGGTCCTTCCGCTCCTAACTCGCGAGCTAAGTCGTCGTCGATTAGCGATATCGTAGAGCCTTCGTCAAGTAGCGCGTACGTGTTCACTTCCTTTCCGCGTGGTCCGCGCACGGTTATCGGACACACTTTTTATCAATACGGACGCACTACTGCTAACACTCGACGCGACGAGCACGGTTTCGTCCGGTTTAACCGACGCTGCAGGCGTACGGGCCTTGCGGGTGTGAAGAAGAGCGTGGTGGGGGGCGTTACAACCGTCGACGCCGCACTTCCTGGCTTTGCAGCGTATACGTCGGTGCTTGCTGCTCAAGCACTTGAAACATACCCCATCTTCCCTAACCCACTTCCACCGGTCGTCCGAGCCCATTTGCTCTAACTTCTTACACTTGACGATAGGGTGTTCACCCCCGCAACACATACATGAGGCACTACCGGTGTCCTCCTGGGCGGTGAACGTCTTTACGTCGCGGGCCCTATCTTCTACGCGGCGTGTTAACACTATTCTTTTCGACGGCGGCGTCTCTCGTCTTACGGGCGATTCCTTATTCGACGCTACGGACGTATAGGCATGACTTAACGCACGGTCAGCCTCTCTCATCATGAACCGGGATAATGTAACGATGTCCGGTTCGTCCGCACTTCCGTAGTGCTCCGCATAATCGCACCAACGCGACCGTAAGTGAGGGCTAAGTTTGCTAGTAACCTCCCTAGTCAGCATGGGATTACGCAAATAACCCTTGCCGTCGACGTTTTGCATAATGCACACTATATTTTGTAATTTAATTGCGAACGAGTTTAATTCCTGGGCGGTTTGACCCGGGCGCGGAAGGCGTTTCAATTCTTCTAACGCACGATCTATAATTACTTCCGGGCGGCCGAAACACTGCTCCAGTGTCCGCATAATGTCTGCCGGATCCTTCGCGGTAAACAGCAGAGCCGAAACTACTTCTCTAGCCTCACCGCGTAAACAGTTCCTTAATCTTGCCATATTTTCCGTATTTGTGAATCCATATAAACGCGTGGATTCATTCATCGCGGCTTTAAATGCTAACCATTCCGCGGCCGAGCCGTTAAAAATAGGCAAGTCCTGCGTCTGTTTCGCGGCGGCTGGTCTAACCCTAACCATGTTTTCTAAAGCTTCCGCTAGCCGTTCTATACCCCTATCCTTCCCTCGCGGTGTGAGCGACCTATCTCTATGCCTATTTCCTTCTAGCCTACGCTGTGGCGCCGGCGACCTATGTACACCTACATCCCTATGACGCGGCGACGGTAATCTACGATCCGCAAGGCGATGTGGCGATTTATCTCTGCCTACATCATTACACGGCGACGGTGATCTACGATCCGCGTGGTGATGTGGCGATGGCGATCTATGTATACCTACATCCCTATGACACGGCGACGGAAATCTACGATCCGTAAGGCGATGTGGCGATCTATGTGTAGGCGATAGAGTGCGGCGTTGGACGCGCGACGGCGATGTAGCTCGTACACGACGATCCACCTGGTTCATTTCTACGGCGACTCCATTATCCCTCTGTATCCTATTTACGCGGCACGGTTGAACGTCATTCGCGACCGACTTCCCCTGGGCATCTTCAGCGTGGTCGTAACCGGTTCCCCTCCTCGGTGGGGCCTGCTCTATCTCGATGCGGGGCGCGGGCTGAGACGGGCGGTAGGGCGGCTCCCCCCGCACAGTCTCTACGTTTTCTAACCACCTATCAACGCGTACCCTATTTTCGACTAATTCGTCCTCGTTTAGGCTTTCCCTATCGGTTTCTTCTTGCAGTTGCGCGATATCCCTAGCATATTTCTTCTTGACGAGATCTTCCTCTATTTGCAATTGCTTCCTCCTAATTGCAGCTAGTTCCTCCGCGGCATTATATTCGATTTGTTTTAATCTTGCTACTGCGCTAGCTGTCGACCGGGCTGAACGGACTGAACGGACCGACGGGGCGCGGGACGCGGGCCTATGTACAACGTCTGCTACAGGCGCGACGGTACGCACTATCGAACTAGTTTCCGTAGTCGGAAGATCTTCTATTATCGCGGCGAGCGTTTCTGTGCGCGGCGCGGATGTGCTAACTTCTCCCAAGCGATCGGTTGTAGACACGGACATAGCGGGGCGCGGCGGCGCGGGCGCGGGCGCGGGCATAGATGCGGGCGCGAGCGGGGGCTGCGGCGCGGCGGAGGGCGCTTGTGCCAACGCGAGATAATCGGACGGGGACGCGGGTGCTTCCTCGAATATCCGCATTCCTACTGGCGTTTCGTCGTCGTTCCGTGTCTTCTGGCTTCTTGTCTTCCGCATGATGGTGTCCCTCGTTGCGACCTCCGGTCGTCTTCAAAAAGACGCACGTATTGGACGCCGTTCCCGCCTCAAGGGCGTTACCGGATGGTCACAGTTTGGCACCATTAGGGAGCAACCACCCGGCCGCGTAAACGCGGTTAAGAAACAGGAATTGTCTGGAAACAGACAATATATATGACGTCGATGTAAATAAGAAACGAGGAAGGAGTTAGTACCGACGATCTTCTCTCTTCGTACTTCTTTCTTCCTCGAAGATCTTCTGTAATGATCTTCTTTCTTCTGTAATTATGTTCTCTCTTCTATAATTATGTTCTTTCTTCAATAATTATGTTCTTTCTTCAATAATTATGTTCTTTCTTCAATAATTATTTTCTTTCTTCTTTCTTCTGGCTTGAATCCGGTGACGATGGACCAAGAACTTGTTGTGGATCGCAGTGGACTGTATTATTGGGGGGGTAGGGGTGTACGCTAGGGGGCAACTGCTCAAAGAAAAGATGGTACTGTCGAACTATACTGTATTCTAACTATTTACAAAATGTGGTACTATTAACTACACTATTATACAGAGGGGAGTCTTCTTGATGGAGTCTTCTTGAGTCTTGATTTTCTTCCTGTCTTCTTCTCGTTGAGTGCCGCTTCCGAAATGAACAACAACCGTCCGAGACGCCCTTCTTATATTTCGCCGGAGAGCGTCTCGGGTCGTGCGTAGCGTCGTACGCGATGCCGCGCGCTCATTGGTCGGCGACATCGCGTGATCTGCTGCCGGTGTGCGGGGTGCGCGGGGCGCACCGGGGTGTGAAGGGGCGACGGGGCGGCGGCCTCCTCGCTGTCCGCTACACTTGGTTTAGCTCGATCGCTTCTTCAATACAAGCTGTATTGAAATTGCGTAAGTCCCGTCTCATGCATTTAGAGATCTATCTGTTCAGTTGCCTGTATGCTCTTAAATCTGTTGAAGACTGCTGCTTCATTTCCCGTCTAACAGCCATGAGATTAAGAGTGTGAACGGAGAGTTTTTGTGTTCTTCTGCGGCGAGTCTTGCAGAACTTAGCTCCGACCGCATGGACAGTTTCCTGCGGGGGCTTGTGTCTCCTCTTATTTCTGAGAGGAGTTTATCGGTTAATTTGTCGGACTAAATGAATGTCTTCGAAATATTTTTATTCCTCAGCATGTTTTCCATCACCGAGCATGTGGTAAGAGCAGCATTTAAAAATGCAATTAAATTAAAAAAAATGCCGGCTTGAAACGAACCCGGTTTGCTCGCGTACTGTGAAATTAACATCCAGCCAGGTCTACTGTAGCTTTACATGTATCACCTATCAAAAACCTATCAAAAGTCGACGGCTAAACATAGACCTCCCATAGATTGCCTGTTATGTTACATATCAGCTGTAGTTATCTTGCTTGACAACCACAGTTTTTTTTTATTATTGACGTGATAACGTCATCTAAATCTAATTCGATGAAGCTGGCTGCACGCACGAAAAAACATGACTCATGCGGCGTTACCTCGCTCTGTGGCGTTCCATCTTAGGCTTGAAGTGCAAGCGAGGGCGCGGAACGAGCGACAAAGAGGCACAATCGGCCTCCGCGTTCGGCAGCGTTCGACATCTGTCGCTCTCCTACTTGAGTGAGCGATGCGTCCGCATGGACAGCTGCTATACAATAATACATGTATTTTCTTATGACGTTGTCACGTTCAACTATCGTCAGTAAACCGACTTTACAGACAACCAATTTTTTTAAGTTGTTATCAGGAAGATGCTGCTGCCCTTCCCGTGTTTATTTTCCCTCTGTCGCCTTTTACGATACCTACGGGATGATATGAGGTAATGGATATTCTGACATCCCCAGTACACAGTCGACTGCGTCATAGACAAGTCTAAACACAATATAATTACTTACCAAATAATCATGTCTATTATCGGTCAGCAGCCCAGGGTACTTCTGCTTCCAGGCTTGTGCTAGTTGCTGAGTAGAGATATAGCCATCACTGGTGAGGTCGCCAGCTAAAGACGGGTTCTGATTCGAAGTCCAAACCCAGCGTTCGAGGAGATTCAAGTCAGATGTGCAGATGCGTTGCTGAAATTTAAAAGATTACACAAGCTATATTGTACCACAATCGACCAAGATTACCTCAAGAGTTAAAATGGCTTTTAAATGTTTTACTTATGTTGTTTTTGTTATAGAAGAAATGATGACAAATGAGCAGCAGTTGTACGTGGTAGAGCCATGCTGCAGCTATATCAAAAGTATAGTTGTAGCACAAATGTGTCGGCTCGACCGGGGAAGGATCACGCTCTCACAATACCAGCGTCAAATAGCAGCTTAATACTGCTGTGTTTCGTATGGTGAGTGTAGAGAACCGGCGACCCTATTTACTGGAAAAGAGGCATTCCATCTTAGTCCTCACGGGTGACAACGCATCTGAATTTTGATTCTTTATTTAGGATAGATGTGGATGTCTATGGGTCGCAGCAACCACTTACCATCAGATGGACTGTGTGCTCGTTTGTCACCCTGTTCTATAAAAAAAGACATTCGTGTCGCCCATAGATATCTACATTTATCCTTGAGTAAGAAAAAAGACTCCGCTCTAAAAGGGACTCCGGTTCTCATCACTCACAATCCGAAGTATAGCAGCTATTTCACGCTGGTAAATTGCGAGCGTGCATCCTCCCTCGGTAGGCCCATTCGTACTGCGGCTATGATACGCTATATCAAGCCACTATCACGAATAAAAGTTATAATGTAACATTGTCTTCCAAACCGAATTTCGGTCTGGAGACTAGCCATCTGCGTATGATAGCATTATAGTGCTATGCGCCACAGTCTATACCAGGGTTTCCCAACCTTTTTTTGACCACTTTAATTTCTTTGTTGTTATAACAGGGACCATAAGGTGAAAGAAAAACCATATAATGTTAATCTAACAATAAAATTTAATCACAACTTTTAACATAATTATACGATAAACTGAAAAGAAGCATTCATTCATAGTATTATAATTTGTGTATTTATCGTAAAAGAAATCATACATGTTTGGTACCAAATCGCGATTTTGATTGTGACGCCACGCGCGGTGCTGCACTGGCCGCGTGACAAGAAAATAATAAATGTGTTATTTAAAAGGATTAAGTAGGGAATCACTGGTCTATAGCCTCACTCTTATAGTGCGGTTAGTCTGTAATACGACACGACTGGAGAGATATCAGGATAAAACATCGCCAACTTTTAGAGTCCAGGCTGCTACTGAGAATTTCTTGACAGGAAAATCTAATAACTGATTTTGGTCCGACGCGGGATTCGAACCCGTAACCACATATCAGCAGTCGCGAAAACGAACACTAGACTAACGACGACCAACGAACATTCAAAAATAAAGTACAAATAAAAATTGAGATAAATAGGGGTCAATTTTTGTAACAACTAGAAAATAGTAGGTAGATCGACAATATATTATGTCGATCCTATTAAAATTTGCGGTCGGTGCAAAATTTTTACAGGTCGGTTATTAATTTGCAATGTTCTTTATACATTTGCAACTGTTTAAATATAAGTCATATGAACACTTATTTTCATTCTACCATAGGTTTTTATTGATAAGGAGTTCGTAAACATACCACATTCCTCGTTTTACAATTTTATTTCATTTTTTTTATTTTAAATTTATTGTCTCAATTGACATGTACTATGATACTAAATATTTTCAAGTAGTAACTTATACGTACAGGCAGGTTAGCAGGAATGAGTCGGTTCGACCAGGGTACCATGCTCTCACAGAATACCAACGTAAAATAGCAACTTAATGCTGGATTCGTATGGTGAGTGTAGAGAACCGGAGACCCTTTTTACTGGAAACGAGGAATTCTATTTTTGTCCTTAGGCGTGTCACCTTATTTTGTCACCCTTATTCTGTAAAAAACACTTAAGCCCAAAATTTATTCAATAAAGATTTTTTTTATAGCCATCCCGTACGCATTTTCCGCGGTACGCATCTTGCCAAGGCTCTAGAAACGGGACGTCCCAGCTCTCGCGAGATGTATGGCCCAAGCCTAGTTGTGACTGTTTATATGTTTTCTATACTTATATGTTCGTATAATTTGACTTATAACGGCAATTTGATGTCTAATAACGGCAGTATAAATGGGGAGTTTTGGTAATTTTAGATTGTTCCTACTATTTTAAAAAATAATTAATTTATAGGAAAAACAAAACGTACTTAATGGTTCTAGTAGATATAGGTTATATTGTAAAAAAAAATTGTTCTAGTGTTATTATTTTAGGAGGTAATAGAGAACGCATTAAGTTTGTATGAACTAAATTCTATATAAAAAAATCTAAATTTTGTATGAATTAAAAAGCCGCTCCGATATTCCCTTAGATAGGTAGCAGTTAATGATTCGATTATGAGATTTTCATACAGTAAAATAAATAAAGTATAGGTATTCTAGAAAGGTTATTAGTTTTCAAATTGTTTTGTTATTGTAGCAAGAATTTATTTAGCACTTGATCATAGCACCTTAGAAGGTCTCCAGTATTATGTACGTGTTTCAATTGCTTAAAAACTTCCTTTTCGTAGAGTATTGACTTGTGTTTGTTATTCGTTTTCCAATGTTAAACCATTGAGTTATAATGTACTACGTACGTACACTATAACTCAATTATAACCGAATATGTACCAACGAAATAAATGAACACCAGGAGATTACCGTATGCGAACTGTGTACGACTGAGAGTGAAAGCTGACCGATTCGATCAACGGCTTCATAACGCTACAGCAAACACAGGAAGTGTTTAACAGTTAAAGATAAATAATACGTTGCAGCGTATAATGTACTCCAGACCAAATTTCGGTCACGTCAGCTGGTATCAACGGAGACTAGTTAATCTGGGCAGGACAAGATTATAGCGCACAAGTATGTGCGCAAGCACAGGTGCACTCTCTATTCTCTCAGTCTCACAGTCCGATGGGACGGCAATCCGATACGACAGGGGAGAGAGATCAGACGCAGGACCAACGGCTTAACGTGCACTGAGGAATGAAAACACAAAATAGCAGCATATGTTTCGAGGGGTTACGAGAACCTGAAACCTTCCTTAGGGAAAGTACAATTAATTGTAACGAGGCACTCCATCTTAGTTGTCAGGAATTACAACCCACGTGCCTTATTTTTCTTAATCAAGCATAGACGTTGTACGGGTCTATGGGCCACAGCTTCCACTTACCATTAGTTGGACTGTGTGCTTGTTCGTAACTCTTACGTCGATAAAAAAAACTAACATTGGTTGCAGGTTGGTGGTGCACAGATTAATTTATGATTTTAAAATTAGCAGATTCTAAAATCAAAAATTAGTCTGTGCACCACCTCTCACAAACACGGGTGACCTCATGAGTAATACATAAGCTAGTGACATACTTAGTACAACTGAACCTTAATGTTATCCCTATGATGTTGCAAGAAGTAGAGTTCAATATATTCCGTTGATTGTTTTGACCTATTTAAGTAGTTTAGAGATAACATTACGTGACAAACCCACGCTGCATCATGTCTGTTACACGAAAGGGTCGGCTCATATACTCAAAAATACATAATTTAGAGTACATTTTTTTATACCTATTAATGTAAAATTATAACCAAATGGTGCTGTTTGAATGGTGAGTGTATAGAACAGGAGCCACTTTTTTCGGAGCTTACAATTCGGCAGTATGGTTGTTTATTTTTTATTTTTTGGTTTTTGGTAATTCTTTATTTACTAAATAGGTTACCATAGGTTACTTCAGGAGTGGTCCCATAAAAATTTGGAGAAAAAATTACATCCCTAACGGTAATTAAGTTTTAACTATTTAGACAATATTGTAATTGTGATATTTCTTAGTCCACTCTAAAGGGTAAAAACAAATGAAAAACAAAAAAAAAAAACGGAAAATTAACTTTTAGCAAAAAGTAAAAGCCAAAGCCTTCAAAGAATTAAAAATAATAAATCATTTCATATCCTAAAGTCGGCTTTTAATTTTTGTTAAACGTTTTTTTTCTGTAATTTTTTTATTTATAATTTTGGATTAATTTAACATTGCATATTTACGAGTATCATTTCGCATAGATTTTGTTTTCAGGGCACAGCGTCATTTGTCACGGTTTTTTTTTATAGAATGGGGGTGACAAACGAGCACACAGTTAACCTGATGGTAGGTAGATGCTGTGGTCCATAGACATCTACATTTATCTTCCATTAAGAATCAAAATGCAGATACGTTGTCACCTCTGAGGACTACGATGGAACTCCTCATTTTCAGTAAAAAGGGTCTCCGGTTCTCTACACTCACCATACGAAACACAGCAGCATTAAACTACCATTTTACGCAGGTACTCTGTGTGGTCCTATCCCGGTTGAGTCAACCCATTTATACTATAACCATAATAGTGCCGCTGCGTGGCTTTACCACGTAAAAACGGTTACATATATAAACACACATAAACACATAAATGTTTTATTAAGTTACTCACGTTAGTATTTCTGAAGTTGCCGTTCCGGTAATTTGTGATTACATTGTTCCTTAGATCGGTCAAAGCTTGCAGACCTGCTGTTTCGTTCATTTCGGGACTGTGCGATCCATGACGGTTTAGCAACCAAATGGCGGTTGGCTGACAACCTGAAAATAAAAAGATAAACTTTTGAAAACCTTATTTATTATTTTTACGAATATTAAAAGTGACAAAGCAAAATTCTGCAGAGTCAGGAAGGGACGCCTTAGATGAAAGTTTATCGACCAATTTGGCCACATATTGAAGATGGGCCAGATTAAGAGTACCCTTAATCAACCAACATGTATGCGTAGGTATATAAAGGAGGCGAGAGAGGTTTGTCAGGATCGTACCGAATGGAAGTCCGTAGTCTGCCTACCCCTCTTGGTGACTGGTGTGTGTTAACGTATGTTTTTTACATCGCAGTTTGGTCAATCGCTGCACGTTCCTCTGGTATTGCAGATGTTCATTGGCGGCGATGATCACATACCATCAGGCAAGCCTTATGCTTGTTTGCCTACCCTTCTACAATAAAATATTTTTGTTCAAGTGAACTAAATTTCGTCTTTCTTCAGTTTTGAGAACTTCTGCCAAACATGTATTAAGTACCGAATTGTGGTCAAATTTATATATGCTCAAAAATATAAAACAAAATATTGTCGTGTGATTGCATAAGAATGCCCACCACCTCATTTCGTTCCGTGGGGATCATAAGACGCGACTATCCGATATGCCAACAAAAATTTGTAACAACCTTTAGATGGTATTACCATCACGTTAACATATGAAGGGTATAGGATAATAATCAAATATTATTATTTACAGACTGCAACTGCTTTGCGCTGATATTCCCCCACCTTAAAGTGCTCTAATTATGTTTGCTATCGATATTTTGAAGAGAACCATCTTCGTATGATCTTCTTATTGGTCAAGTATGGAGATAAGAGCAAATCCCCTCTTTAATGGGAGAGGCTAAGGTCCAGTTGTGGACTAATAAGAGCTAATAAACTATAAGAAAGTAACAACCTCTGATTAACCTGGTGACATTGAACTTGCAGTTAAATTAAGATGGTGAAACGTATACTTAGTCCGAGGTCGTATATACATGATATAATCAGAGCCTGAGATTTCACCGCGTAATTACTAGAGCCATCAGTGTTATTGTTGGAAATGAAAGTTTTGCGAACTAGATGAATACATTTTACCGGGCTGCTTACCAACTGTTGCTATCAAAATTTGGCCGCAAGTAGGTGTTAATTAAAATTTAACCCGTTACGCCTATAAGTCCATTACTGAACATAGGCCTTGTCAGGACTTCATTAAAAAAATAACTTTAAAATAAAGCAAAAGCAGACATCAAGAATAAAATAATAGTCAGCTTTTACTTTGTGTTAAAAATTATTCTTTTATTATATACTAGCTGTGCCCGCGGCGTAGCTCGCGAATATAGGTTTTACTTAAAGAATTTGACGTTTAGGGTAAGAGAATATTAACCGATTTATATCATTACTCTATGAATAAGTGGTAACAAAATAAATCGATATTCTCAAAGTTCTAAGTCGTTTATGCTAGAGCTTCTGTGTAAACGACGATAGAAGTAGACTTAGCCAGGCGTACAGAAAAAGGTTACGGGGACTACTAACGCGAGAAAAAGCAATATAGAGCTGGCCATGTGCAAAACAATCAGTACTGACGCGTAAAGTTTGACCTTGCGCTTTATTTACGATCGTCGCATAACACACGCTGAGTGGGAAACACACTTAAAATAGGGATGTTAGATGATCATCGATGTTAAAAATTAAAACTTTGATGTTTTAACATCGATGTTGACATATGTCAAACATCGAAACATCGACGTCAATTAACCCATAATCGATAATTGAGAACTTGCAAACAATGCGAACTCGCGAAATCAGTATCAACTAAATCTTACATTTGCTCTGAAGATTAAAAATTTTGAATAATTCAGAATTTCTGAACGCATCGTTAATCTAAAAAAATGTCAGTATGGTGAGTCAAACTTAATTGTCAAGTGTCTCCTGTAATGTCACAATGGTCACTGCTTTCGCTTTATTTTGTAGTGTCGTTGTCGGTTGTCGCATAATAACTATTCTACATAAATTGATATTCAAGTTAATTGTTACTTTTCCCTTGCTGTGTATACCCACATAATTTTAAAACAATGTGTAAGTATCTACACATATACAAAAACCATCGATAATGGTCAACATCGATGTTTTGAGTAGCCAAAACATCGAACATCGATGTTGAGCTAGCGATGCCAACATCGATGTTATTATCCCTATCTTAAAACTGAAGCCTGAGCCGTGGTAGCTCAGATGGTTAGCGCTCGCTGTAAGCTTCACAGTACTCGAGCAACCCGGGTTCGATCCCCGCCGGCACCAATGAAATTGTTAATTGCAATTTTAAGTGCTGATTTACCACGTGCTCGGCGGTGAAGGAAAACATCGTGAGGAAACCTGCATGTTTGAGAAATAAAAAAAAATATTTCGATGACATGTGAAGTTCGCCAACACGTATTGGGGCAGCGCGGTGGACATTTCCTTGCCCTAAAACCCTCTCAGAAATAAGAGGAGGCCTGTGCCCAGCAGTGGGACGTAAATAGGCTGCAACTTTACTTTACTTAAAACTGAAAAAAAAGTTATCTGGTATTAGAGGGATTCTGGGTATAAAACAATATCACTATCACGACATTTATTGCAATTTTGCTACTTTTAGTCAAGTTTTGTTGAATAATTAAATATTTCAATACCTCTGTATATATACCTTACAGGATTGCAACTTTCTCAGACTCATGGACATAAATTATTACAGTGAGTCTCAATACGATTCACCTGCGAAAAATCTTAACACCGCAATTCAGAAAAGGTTGTAATTTGTACAACGCCATCTATTACGTTCTTTGTGAGAAAACATCCTTTTTTAAATTAAGGAAAACATATTTTTACTGTGTTTTAAGTACTATAATAGAACGATACGAAATATATTATAATAGAACGTTTTTTTTTACACACGTATCTTTTTATTACTATTTCTGGGATTTTGTGGCGCCATTAAACAAATTCGAACCTACATTTCAAAATAATAATCATGACTTTCGATAGAATTAACCAATTTCAATAAAACAAAGATTAAATGAACTTGATAATACGCTTTATGATTTTCTTAAGGATTTCATTGAAAAAAAAGATGTTTACTCAAAACGTCATGCGTCCATAAACAAACAGACAGACCGTCAGATAGTACAATTCTAAAAATTATAAAAATGTACTTATTTAATGACTTACAGTCCCCATAATGATTTTAGTCGCAAATTAATATACTATACAATATTCAGAAACAGACATAACATGTTATTACCATTTTTATTATATGTATAGATTTAAGAGAGATGGCGCTGTTAACATCAATTCTAAAAATAAGAGATTAATTCACACGATTGATACAATAAAAAACATAAAAGAACTTATAAATCAGTGCCTGCATAGTAAGCAAAAAAGAAAGTTTGATCCTCGCCGAAAAACGAAATTGTTAATAGCTCTTAAAATTTGATTTACCACATAGAGTACTCGGCGGTAAAAAAATAAAAAATAAATGAGATTGTCAACACGCAGTAGGGCAACGTGTCATTAATATAAAGGTTAGAAGCAAATATGAAACTCAACTACAGGAATAAATTTTTTTTCTGCCTTTTTGTATCACATTTATGCTACACCACCATCTATCGATGAAATTGGTTAACTATTGTACTTTAATTTAGTTTAGATAATAAGGTTAATATATTTTGTATATATTTATTACGTTCTTTATGTAATACTTTTGTTTACTGCGTTTTAGATATAAGTATATCATTATAGAACATTATTTTACATCATTTAATTATGATTTATAATATGATATTAATTTTAAAATGTACTTGATGACTCATCCAACGCCACTATTGAACAAATTCGTACCTATACTTAGTACCCATACTTCAGAATATTTGTCATAACTTTTGATGGAATTAACCAATTTTAATGAAATAAAGACTAAATGTAACCTGAATATACACTTAATAATTTCCTTAACTATTCTTATGATATAAATTAGTACTTTATACGTGATACGTTAACAAACAAACAGACAGACAGACAGACAGACAGACAGACAGAAAAATCTAAAAATGGTAGAAATGTATTTAATTACTTATTTTTAGTACCTCTCAATCACTTTTATTACAAAAATATAAAATGTACAGACATCTGCTATTTACATTTTTATTATATGTATAGATTACACTTTCAACGGGCTCGGACGGGCAACGCATCGTCATACCTAATTAATAAAAAAAAAAACATAGGCAGTCATAAGGACTGCTGATGTATTATGCATATACATGTACACAGGCTGCTATACCATTGTAGATAGATGTATACACGCACAGTAGACATGTCGAGGTCATCAGTAACGCGAACCCATAAGTTTTTTCTTTATTAAAAATCGCTCAACGCGGCTAAAGAAGTTTTCACTTATCAACGACGTACCCGATGACATTACTATGGCGTATTTAAAATATGGTATAAACTCAGTGGCGTAGCTATCCAGGGGCTAGGCGGGGCAGTGCCCCCGGGCCCCCAAGCTAAAGGGGCCCCTCGGCCTCCAAGAACGAAATTCCAAAAATTATGTACTATCCTAGTTGCATAAAGAATTTCGAGTTTTAACTTTTTGGCCCCTGACCGCGAGCGGCTCGAATTGAAATCACAATAATTATTCATACATTATCTATACATATAATAAAACTGTAAATAGCAGATGTCTGTACATTTTATATTTTTGTAATAAAAGTGATTGAGGGGTACTAAAAATAAGTAATTAAATACATTTCTACCATTTTTAGAATTTTCTGTCTGTCTGTCTGTCTGTCTGTCTGTCTGTTTGTTTGTTAACGTATCACGTATAAAGTACTAATTTATATCATAAGAATTGTTAAGGAAATTACAAAGTGTATCTTCGGGTTACATTTAGTCTTTATTTCATTAAAATCAGATCATTCCATCAAAAGTTATGATAAATATTCTGAAGTATGGGTATGGAAGTATAGGTACGAATTTGCTCAACGGTGGCT